AGAGACCACACTTCTAGATATACACCCTACAGAAAGGCACACACTTGTGCACAAGCCCTCCCCCATCCCCCATAATATAACATGTAAAAAATATTCACAGCAGCTCTATTTATAATCAAAATCTAGAGGCAACTTACATGTCCATCAATAGCAAAATGAACAAATCGAGGTATAGTCTCATAACACGGCAAGGAGCATGAACCAACGACTGCATATAATCATTATCAATAACTCTCCCATGCATACATGGAGCAAGAAAAGCACCACACGGGCCCTCGCGCGCGCCCGCGCGCCTGCGCGCGCCCGCAGTCCTCTTTCCGCGCAGCTCGGCGGCGCGCACGTGTGACGTGTAGCGACCCCACGTGACACAGCACGCCGCAGCCATTTTAGAGCCCGGGACTCGAAAATGGCAGGGCGGCTTTCTCCAGGAAAGGCGACAGACCAGGTGTGCCCCTTCCTGTTCAAAAAGCCTGGGCGAAAAGGCGCTGCAGGCCACCGGAGGCGCCGGGGCTGCGATCGAGAGCCTGGAGACGACAGCAGCAGCAGCAGCAGCAGCGACGAAGGCGGCGCTGTGGTTCCCCCGGAAAAGAAGAGGGCGGCTCCCAATCCGATGGTACAGAAGACCCGCCGCCGTGGTCAGCAGAAGGCGGCTGACGGTGACGCGGGTAGCAAGCAGGAGGAGGAAGGTAATGAGCCCAAGAGTCTCGGTGTGGTCTACAAGTCCACCCGCTCGGCGAAACCCGTGGGGCCAGAGGATATGGGGGCGACTGCTGTCTGCGAGCTAGACACGGAGAAGGAGCGTGACGCACAGGCCATCCTTGAGCGCAGCCAGAAGATCCGGGAGGAAGTGAGGGGCAAGGAAGATGACAAGATCTATCGGGGAATCAATAACTATCAGAAATACATGAAGCCCAAGGAGACGTCTCTGGGCAATGCTTCCTCCGGGATGGTGCGGAAGGGCCCCATCCGAGCCCCCAAGCATCTACGTGCCACCGTGCGCTGGGATTACCAGCCTGACCTTTGTAAAGACTATAAGGAGACCGGCTTTTGCGGCTTTGGAGACAGCTGCAAATTCCTCCATGACCGTTCAGATTACAAGCACGGGTGGCAGATTGAGCGTGAGCTTCATGAGGGTCGCTATGGTGTCAATGAGGACGAAAACTATGAAGTTCCTGGAAGTGATGATGAGGAGATACCATTCAAGTGTTTGGTCTGTCGCCAGACCTTTCAAAATCCGGTTGTGACCAAGTGCAAGCATTATTTCTGCGAGAGCTGTGCGCGGCAGCGTTTCTGCACCACCCCGCGCTGCTACGTCTGTGACCAGCAGACAAATGGCATCTTCAGGCCAGCGAAAGAATTGATTTCTAAACTGGAGAAGCACCGAGCTGCCGAAAAGAGTGGTACTTCCGCTTTCCCAGAAGATCCTAATGAGGGTCCAGTTCCCATTATTTAATTTTCCCATTCTCCAATCTCCAATATTTGGGAAATTAAAAAAAAAAAAAAAGCACCACACACGGCCAGGATATGCTGATGGTGACAATTCATCTAGAACTCAACATGAGCAGAGAATCAAGAAAAGGCTCTTAGATTGGTGTCTGGTTCATCACCCTCTCCCCTAAATCTAGTTTTGAGAACTAGCCTTACTGAAAGGCCAGGGGGCGGGCCCCTTCATCTTCCCTGGATTACTTAGTGCTTGAGACAGTGGCTCTAGGATGACTGACTGGTTCATCCCTGTTTGTTTGAGACTTTTCTGGTTATAAAATTGGAACTCCCTTGTCCTGGGAGCACCCTCAGACCTGCACAAATTCAAAAGGCTCTGAAGTGAGAAAGACGGGGGTTCAAATTCCAGTTCGCCCAAATGGAGGAACATTCTACAACATAAGTGGCCTGAACTCTCCTAAAATGCCAGCATCGTAAAATAGAAAGACCGAGGCTCTCTGGCATTAAAAAAATTGAATGCAATCAGTTTTGTATCCCAGGTTGGATCCTGAACAGGGACAAAAATTGCTATAAAGAGCATGAATGGGGCAAAATTTGAATAGTCAGCAGATAAGGTCTGGGGTCCCTAAACTTTTTGTTCAAAGGCCAGATAGTAAATATCTCAAGCTTTGTAAGGGAATGTAGTGTAATGTAGTAAGGATGTAAATTCAGATGAGGCCATACTGGATTAGGGAGGGGCAAGAGGCAAAATGGGAGGACATATGTAGGTACTTACCTAACCACTTAAAATGTAGCCATTTAAAAATGTGAAAAGCATTCTTAGCTGTAATAAAAAAGCAAACTGAACAACCAAAACCAGGAAGTGAGCTATTGTTGGCCTGTAGGTCATGGTTAGCTGACGCCCGGATTAGAAATCAGTATTTTGTTAATGTTACATTTTCTGGTTTTGATTAGGGTAAGGGAACATTATGCCTGTAACTTGTTTCCAAATAATTCAGGAAAAATAATTCAGAGTGATAATGATAACGCAAATGAGATACTGCGTTAAATATTGATGAATCTAGGAGAAGGAGATATAAGAATCCTGTGACTATTCTTGCAACTTTTATGTAAGTTTGAAATTCAAATGAAATTATTTTTAAAAATCTGAGTTCCCCCCAAATTCTGTGATTTGGGGCGAGTTTCCTATATGGTGAGCTTCCTCCTGCAGAAAATGGACATAATACTAGCAGCTCCCTATAGAGACTCACAGCCCATCCACTACTCATTCACTGAGCACTTCCCGTATGCAGACACACATCTACATTCTGACCCCCAAACTGAAAACACACCTGCTGTCATGGAATTCACTCCATTCAAGTGGGTTTGGGGGTATAAAATAGGTTGTGGCATCTAAGTGATCGCCCTTGCCTGGCTCAGCGTACACAATGGCTGCCCACCGTCGATATCGTCGTTAAGATGGTGGGTATTACCCTGGTGGATGGCTGAGCTGCCCTGGGGCCTGGCCCTCCATAGCTGAACAGGAACAGGTCTTTCTGGGGAGATGCATCGATGGTACTCCCCGCCTATAATGAAACCAACATTTCTCACTTCATTCATCACAGCATTGGAAATGTCAATATTTGTGGGGTGAGCAGGCCCGTAATAACCATGTTTTTAACCAATTACAATTTGGTCTTTATCTCCTCTAACAGGAGGTTATGTTAATATTGAATCAATTCACTCCACCTAATCTTTAAAAAAAAAAAAAAGTCTCTTCAAATAAAACATCCAAGCCACCTGTCCTGTGGTTCCTGGTGAGGGAGAATCATTCCAAAGATACTCACACAAAAGACTCCCATCAGGGTCCTCTTCCCAGAGCTTATTCATTATTTTCTATGAATAGAAAATAATTTTTCTTTTCTACAGAAGCATGGGTGACAAACATCTCGTTAAAAGCACTGGGGATAAATCAGCTTATCAGTCTTACATGCATTAATCGGGGGTGAAGGGGTGGGGCCCTCAGACTGTTCCCTCGTCATCCTTTGGAGTTCATCGTATAGAAGACACAATAGGCCTAATGGGCACCTGAGTGAACACGGAAGCTAAGCCAGAATTCCCCCTGTGGAAGGGCCTCCAGCAGCACTCGGGGCTTCCAGAAGGGATGTGAGAGCCCAGAGACGGCAGCGGGTCCACACAAGGTATATTGGTGGTTCAGGATAGTGGTTATTATACTCTCAAGTGTTGAAGTCAGACTCTGTGGGTTCGCACCCCAACTGGACCTCTTATCACCTTAGTGATTTGGGACAAGTCTTTTCATATGTTTACCTATTCCAGTTGCTGCTTTTAAGCCATTGGAAAGTAAAGGAGGGAAACAGACAACCAAAGAGGTAATGTTGATAGAATGATATGTTCTATCTTAGGGGTAAACCCAGGACAGCTTTACAGAAGAGCGATGGGGCCCTTACCCAGCGCCTGGGGGTCAGATGGCTCCCAGAGACAATGCCCAGACCCAAGTTCAGGGGGTCAATGTTCATTAGGTGAAGAGTTCCAGAGGGGAGAAGTAAGAGTCCAGCAGCGGGCACAGCTTGGGCAAAGGTGGAGAAGTGAAAACAGCTGTGGGGGACCCCACGTGGTTCTAAGCTGCTGATCAGGGCTAATGGGAGGAGGGGAGGAGCTAACATCAATCCTTAAAGGTCAAGTGGAGGCACCTGAACTGTATTCTGAAGGCAGTGGGAAGCTGCTGATGGATCTTGACCACCAAGAGCCAAGGTTATATTTAAATCTTAAAATTCTGTCCCCCAAGATCAGGTGGCAGAAAGACGGCTG